CTCCGCCCCCCATGACCCTGGTGAGGATGAAGGTGTAGAGATGATGGATGGATGAATAACTAGCAGGGCTGTTTACTGCACAACCCACATCCCTGGCACAGCTCCACCTTTCCAGTGTGGCTGTTTGGCAGCCTGCAGGTGGTGGCTGCTGTTTGTTTTCTATGCAGAGTCAGTCAGAGGTGAAAAATTGAACTTTAGGGATTAAAAACACAAGCTGGTGCAGTTCCTAACAAAAGCCACAGCTGCTGAAGTTCAACACAACTGGTTCATTTCACTTTGACAGACACAGTGTGTCGATGATGAACGCAGCGCTGTGTGAATGGAAATAAAGGTTCACACATTAAAGAATAAAACTGTTAAAGTGGAAACTCAAGCATGGTAACAAACACATAAAGCAGAGGGCTGCTTATTTACATCAGTAGTGCAAATGTGACAGAACTTCTGCTAAACCCTGGTAGATGATGTACGAACACAGATGAACTACATCAGCTCCAGCGCCCTGATGGTGTCACTGCTCTCTGACTAGTACCTTCAGCTCTATGAACCACAAACACATCTCCAGCATCTCCATCACCGTACACTCTACGTGTTTATGGTGACTGTCAGACAGCGGTGTGGTTCCATCAGAAACATCAGTTAAACCTGAACCTCAGCAGAGCAGCAACCTGGAGGTACCTGCTGGTCACCATGTAGTGCTGATGAGCTGCATTTTACTGGGAATTAGACTGTAATGAAGTGTGAGTGAGCACAGAGAGCAGGAGAGAAGCAACAGATGTAAAGTGTGTGTTTGCTTCCAGCTGCTGGTGTATCTGCTGTGCTGCTGTGGTCTGAACCTCTCACAGCCTCCTCAGAGGAACAAGCTGCCTGTTTGGACAGAAGGTCAGTTCTGTCACCTGATCTGAAGCCAACACGCCTCTGGGCGACTTTGACAAGAAGGTCAGAGCAACACAACCCAAACATCACAGAGCAGCTGGAGAAGAGTCTGAAGAAGGGGAGAACATCTGTCCAACAACCTCATGAACACTGGTGTCCTCCACGCTGAGGAGGACTGACTGCCTCAGAAATAACGGCTGATGGAGGAAGATTTAAGCTGTACTGTGTTTAATATGAGAACAAATACTGTTCAGCCGAGAAGTAAAATGCTCCTGTAATGAGATAACATGAATGGATGTTCTCTCTTCTACTGTGTCCCCGCTTCAAACAGAAGTTCTGACTGTTTTTATTTCCAATAGGGACTTAAATTAAACCATTTAGACTGATTGGATTGCTCAGATGGGGGCATGGCTTATTAAATATGACAGCGTCCACAGAGACAGGACGAGAACCTGCATCGTTCTGGATTCATATCTCTCCCTGAGTGTCTCTACAAGCTTAAACAAATATCTACAAAACCATGAGTGTCAGCCTCCAACAAACACACTGCTGCAGAGATCAGCCTGTCTGGTTATGTGTATGCATCCTACACGGTCTACGATCAAATGTAAAGATTCTACTCATCACTGAACATGTACTGACCTGTTGGAGGCTAATTACAACCAGAGCTACAGCATTAAATGTAAAGAAGGCATTAAACCCTCTGAGCCTGATGTCCCTGGTTTCCATCCACATGTTAGCTAAAGCCAAACACACACACGCTTCAGGGTTTGTCAGCTGCCATAACTGGAAACACCAAAGTGACATGAACGTGATGTTGGAGCAGTCTGATTGGCCGACTCAAAGTGTGTGTCTGTGTGTGTGTGTGTGTGTGTGTGTGTGTGTGTGTGCACATGCAAACTTACTCATTCTTGACGAAGGCGTACTTGTTGATGGTCTCAATGACGTCTCTGAAGAGGATCTTGGAGGTGAGGGTGTAGCCGTGGTGCACGATGGGCTCCCCGTCCTGACCGTCCCAGCAGTCCACTGTGGACCAGACAGAATGAGCAGGACAGCCAGGAGGAGGTTAATCAGACAAGTTCTACAGATGTAAGTGGAAATGCTGAAGTATTGCTTCTCCCAAAGCCAGATGCATCAAATATTCCTGTTGGAGGTCATTCATACGGTCACAGAGGACTGTATGGAGCGTCTATAAACCAGCACATCTTAAACACAGCATAGCTTATGTTCTAAATTATACACAGACGCTGTTTCTTCAGAACATACGTGTATTTTTAAAGGACACGTGCTTCAGTTCACTGAATCGACTACGATATGACACAAGGTCACAGAAGGTCTCTTTCATGTGTTCAGGTGTCATCAGGTGCATCTAGGTACCGTATGGTACTGAGTGGAACCAAACAGTCCTTGATCTGAGACATCTATCTTCATTCCTCAACTAACAAACCACCAAAAAGATTTGACAAGAGAGAGAATCTGGATTTGGTAAGTGGATCCAGATTGAGTCAGAAGCTCCTGAACTTATTTGCCTGAGCAGGTTAAATCCTTCACATCAACCCGATCCTGGTGCACACAGCGAGCTACAGGATATGAATCCAGCAGCAGCTTCGTTCCAGCACTGTTCCTTATTTTTAAAGCGTTATGTCTGCTGGTGACCCGTTCCTGTAAACTCTGGGTGTATGTGAGGGAACATCTCTGCTGACCTTCCACACAGCGACAGCCGGCCTGCAGCACCCAGGCGTACATGTCCACCCTGGACTGGGACATCAGCTGGTCGCCCATCAGGTAGGTGTTGTGCGATGAGGCGATGAAGTAGTTGCACAGCGGCTGGTTCATGTCCTGGGTCACGTTGTAGTGTTCTGGGTTGAAGATGTCCCCCGCTGGGCTGCGCATGTAGTTTGTAAAACCTGAAAGAAAATCCCACAAACAGCATTTTCCCAAAGGACTTGTACAACTTATAGATATGTTTAATATTATTTATTCTTCCTGAAGCGTAGCTTGAAAAGACTCACAATGATGTGAAGTCATTTTTTTTACATTAAAATACAGAAATCTGACACAAAGGAAGTTAATTAATTAAACAGCATTTAAATTAGAAACTTGGAGTAATGCAATTAAAACACCTCTCCTCTGTTAGATTATCACCGTAGGCCTCTGTTATAAAACTAAATAAAGATAAACTTTAACAATAAATTTGGGAAATTTTCAGAACAATTTTTTATATTTTAGGAACAAAGCGTCTGATTTAATCAGATGCTTACATTATATTACACAGGTACATTGTTGAGGTGTAATCCCAAAATATTGGGACATTTCAGTCGTAAAATTCTGACCTCTGACTTTAGAACGGAACATTTTTCTTCTGACTTTAATCTGAAGTCCTGCACTCAGACAAGGTCAGCTTCATTATAATGTGACTCTCTGCACTGCTAGTTTTTAGATCTAACTTGAAGCTAACTGAGGCCAACACAGCAGGAGGAGGCTGTAAAGAACGTAACAAAGTGGTTCAGAAAGGTCATGAAGAAATGTTAGGTGGACCTGTGGAAGCAGAGAGCGGCTGTGGCTCAGGTGGGTTGTTCTCTGTTTAATGCTCAATCCCCTCCACAGTCCAAGTGTCCTTGGGCAGGACACTGAACCCACTGCTGTCTGTCACCACTGCTGTGTGAATGTGTGAATGAGAAACACGCTGTAGAGCGCTTTGAGCAGCACTGAGGTAGGGAGGGATGTGAAGATGCTAGATCTGCATGTCTGCTGGGCACAAAGGCAAAACCAAAGCAGCGTTTGACAAAAGAGCCGCAGAGAGCTGGAGCTGACACAACAGTGGTCAGAGGAAATCTCTGAATACTACTCTACATTCAGTCTGTATCGTTTTCAGTGACCTTCAAATGTCTCTTCAACACAGAAAAAGAAAATTTAAACACTCTGCACCGACGCCGGAGCACTGAACACACTGTGAGGCCTTTGGACTGAAGTATGAATGAAAGCTAATTAACATGCAGAGAATGGTAACAAAGGCAGGACTGAACAGCCTAATAAAAGCCAACAACACCTTGAGCAGATCCACATCAGACCAAGGACTGCAGCAGCTCGGTCCACGTGCTTCGTTTGATAAACTCTGGTCGTGCATAAACACAATCACCACATGATGGTTCAGCACAAAGAGGAATTATCTGAAGGTCCAGGAGAACTTCCACGATGCTTTACTAGATGAAAACCAGCAGCGTTCAGCTCCAAACACAGAGTAATGAGAGGAAACAGGCGGCTTACCATCGATCCCCAGAACCGCCTGCTTCTGGTTCTCGGAGCACGGCTCAAACTTGTTGATGATCTCCAGGCAGTGGTCCTTGGTCACCTTGGACATCTACAAAGTGTAGAAACATGTCAAAACCAACACGTTGTACAAGCTAAAACCCAATTAAACATATGTATAGTTATATAGCTAACACAAAGGCCCTTTCCCATCCATCCTGGGAGAGTGAGCGAGGGATAATCCGGCGAGGTGAGCTGCCACGCTCAGAATCCAGCTGTTTGTCTGCTAGCTGCTCTGTACAGCCTGATGGCAGATTGTCACACTGAAATCTCTGCTGATCGTTGAAAGGGGGCGGTCCCAGTCCTCAACTGGGACACCCAAACTGTGTCTGAGCTACGACGGCGGGCTTCTGCTGGGTGAGACACTTCCAGAGGATTACTTCCATTAGTAATAATGTTCTACCCTGCACCAGCAGTGCAAAGCAGGGCGAGTGTCTCAAATGGTTTTAAAAGGCGTGGACCTGCTACCCATCCCATCCTAATCCAGATACCAGAGTGTTGTATGGGGGACAGCCTGACACACTGAGCAGAGGCACCAAACAGCTCCCAGGCTGCTGTCCACACTCAGCACCGGCACACCTCCACAGCTTCATGAACTTCAAACAATATAAAACAGTATGAACATCATGAGACTGAATTTAGCAATAAAAATGTGGACAGCCTCCATTTCTAGTGAGTTTTTAGCTGCAAGCAAAATGGATTTTCTTTATATTTGAAATGTACCTTCAGTGTAACAAACCAGGTAAGAGAGCATCAGCTGATAACAGCACAACATAAAAATGTCTGCTGATGACATATAATCCACACTAGAACATTTTAAACATAAACACATGCTAAAGCGCTAAAGGACATCGCTGCCGACTGAAAGAAGACAACAGCCGTCATGGAAACAGAACCGCAATGCAGCATTTTGTGACTGTGGTGGAAAAACACAAACTGCTTTTCTTTACCTCAGCGACTGAGCGAACCACCTCTGTCTCTGCAGCAGAGCGTCTTTTAGTCCTAATTGCACACATTGCTCAGCTTCACTCCCTGGGCGTGGGCTAGTCCACATGAGGCTGATGGGAACGCCATCAGTAACAGAAACATCACTCTGACTTATACTTTAACACATAAAGGAACATTTAAAATGCATCTTTACTTCATCGTGTGTTCTGAAGGTCCCAGTGAATGTCTAAATGTTTAGATTTGCTATAAATGCTACGTAGGGAGCCTGAAGTCAGGCGAAGCCAATTGTCACTAAAATGGAAAAATGATAAACGGCAAAACTAATCATGTCTTAATTATTATCACAAGTCTAAATTTGACCTTCACTTCTGAAAGCCAGCGTTCAGCCCAAAGCTCTGGACTGCATGGAAACTGGATCAAATCAAACTTTATTTATACAGAACTTCTCATACACCAGAGCAAAGCAAAGCGCTTCACAGCATTTAAAAACATTTACTGACTAATCGGGCTCCTGTTTGCCTTTAACACATCCCACCGTGTTCATCAGTTCGCAGCAGCTCTCAAACACCTGAACACCCAACCTAGTCTACAAAGACACTGATACCAACCCAGTCCAGGATGACACCAACACCTCTGCTGCAGCCTGGCATCAGTCCAAACCAACCGCTCAGAAGAAAACGCTTCTATCAGGCTCCAGTAAGGGAGGAGAACGCTTTCACACACCAGAGCTGAATGTGAACTATAACCCAGGGGGAGCTGAAGCCTCCTGCTTTTAACATGTAGTCATTTCTGTGCATTAGAACAACTTGCTGGACTCACACTGGCTGTTTGAAGAGGCTCATTAGCTAATCTTTCTTTTTTAGGAGACGGTATCATGACTGAGGAGATGTTCTAATAATACTGATGTGATGATGCTAACGTCCCTCCAGGGCCTCTCTGTTGATATTTCAGATCTGGGTTAAGCTTTAAACCTCCCACTTGGCAGAAGCTAAACCAAGGAGCCTTGCAGGTATTTAGTCAACAGAACTATGAAAAGGCACAGAAACACAACCTTGTGCTAGTTTTTAGTAGCAGCCTGTGAGGAGCGTTTAAATCTGATTGGTTCGGTGTTCAGAGAGCGCCATCCTCAGGCCCTGAGCACCGACAGGCCGCTGATTGGCCACGACTGGATGGAGTTATTTATGATGATTGCAACCAGAAATACTAATTCTTGGGAAGATAATGTGTGCTTTGCCAAAAAGGCAACCTAAAGGGCAAAGTGTTGGAAGCCCTGATAGGACAAAAACATTCTGCATCACAACTTCACTTTTGTAACCGACTTCACAATCCCCCCGAACACTCAGGAAACCTTCTCATTAACACGCCTAATTAGATCAAAGGAACAAGAGAGCTTCACAAACAGTCAGCCAATGACTGAGGAGGAGGTTAAGAACAAAAAAAGAAAAGGCGTGTTGGATTAGGAAACACATCCCTGTGAACAGAGGTGTGATTCCAGCTGTGGCTGCTACAGAACCAGTCCTGTACCAGCTTCAAAGGAGGAATCATTTTCAGAGGATTTGTCTCCCAACCTGCAGCTCACCATTAAACTGATTGTTCCAGAGGTTTGTCCCATTTCTCTACTGACAGACAGTAGCTTGGTCCAGCTCCAGGCTTGAAAATAAACATCAGTAGTGACCCAACAGGTCTGTGGTCCTAATAATCTATCTAATGGTTCCAGATTAGGTGGAGAACAATCAGGTCACACAGTTCAGGGCAGACATATGCACGAACTCAGGCTCACTTTAACCACTCCACAGTTAGTAAAACTACAAGACTGGCAGGTTGGTCAGGACAGCTGCTCTATGCAGGACACACTGTCCCTACAGATGCTTTTCTTTATTTCTATTTCTACATCACTAGATCACAGCATGGATTCAGAAGCTTCAGACGGGCTCGTTGATGTCATTAGAGTCAGTCAGAGGTATACATGTGGATGCATTTTAATGCCCAACTCCAAACAGTGCCTCTACGCTGGTCCACATGGAGACATCAATGGAAACCAGCAAAGGAGCCTCCATCATCACTGGGCAAACATGAACACTCACGTAGAAATGCCACGGGACACTTTCCTACTAGAAGTAAATGTATTTTGTGTTTACATCTTTCCCAGAATAACAACAAACGGCCTTGTGAAGACTCTGGAGGAAGCAGGTTTAAACATCCACAGTTGTCCTCATCAACATCCCCTCTCAGGCTGCTGAGGAGGGAACAAGCTCCTGCTCCAAATCCAAAGAACAAGCAAGACTACAGTTTGTACCTGCACATGGAGGAATGTCCTCGGGTTTGATGAAACCAAAATGAACCATAACCACAGTGTTTGGAGAAAGCTGGTGAGCTGAAGGACACCATCCCAGCCTCCACGTATGGAGGTGGCAGCATCATGGTGTGGTGCTGCAGGGTGGACTGGTGCATTACAAAAACCAGCTGCCATCATGAGGAAGGACAGTTATGTGGATCTATTTATGCAGTAACAGTCAGGTCAGCTGTTCACCCCACATGGCCCCCATCCCATTATAATGATACTGATAGGGTAACTCTGGGCTGTCAATCAAAACCCAGGACGTACCTTCTGCTCCGTCTCCATGAAGTGGGCCAAGTCGTCCGTGTCCAGGTGGTCTTTGTGGTTGCTGTAGGTGAGCATGAGGAGGTACAGATCCCTGCGGGTCGACATCATCTTGTAGAAGGAGCAGAACTCCTCAAAGCCCAGCGTTCCCTGGTTGTCATCTGTGTCTGCCTCCTGCACACAGCAAAAGGAGAAGTTTGAGTTTTAGAACTTCTGACAGACCCGTAAAGACTTTGGTGCTCAGGGGATCTGTTCTTTCCACACTTTATTATATCATTAATCACACTATTATTACCAATACATTATAGAACTAGAGGATGAGCCTGACATGGAAATGTAAGTCAAATGAGACCTTTCAGAGGCTGTGGCTTGTTCTGACCCACCACAGATCCCACAGAGTGACAAGAGGTGAAGCTGGAACACATCCAGAGGACCAGTGCTTGCTTCCATTGCTTTAGATCACTGAAACTATGACATGCTTCATATTGGGACACTTGTAGTGGAGCAAAAGACTTCATAAGGACTAAAACAAAAAAAACGCTGCCCTCTACCTACGCTGGAGCGTGACTCCAGAGTCTACGGCAGCCTAGACGTCTGCAGAGTGGGAATGTTTGAAATGAAAAACCAAAGCAACACAGCATCCACCAGCATCTGCAGTAACTAGTGAGGTGATGCTACAGAGCTGCATTTAATGATACCGACGTGATACAGCAGCTAAAAGCTAACACGGTGACGTCCTTCAGGTAATTCAGTCAAAAACAGAAGCAGCACACCGGAGGAGGCCACCTTTAAAAGGAGAGAAGAATCTCCTGAGAGAGCGACAAGGCCCAGAAGACGACAGAGAGGCTGACTGATGGAACCACTGCTGGGGCAGAACCTCCATGCTTCCACCATCTTCTGGAGCGTCGGAGGAATGATGACCCAAACTCTGGACACCATGTTTCAGATAGTTACTAACATCCTCAGTCAGACCTTCTCTGTGTACCAGCAACAGCTCACATAACAACGACCGGTTTGGTGGTTCTGGGTTGTTCTGGCTGTACTGACCTGGACAGAACCTGAGTCGGCCCACAGAAGGCTGTGGTTGTGTACAGAATGATGTTAACAAATGAACTGCAGTCACTCTCAACATGACCCGTGTAATCCTGGCTCCAGTGCACTGAGGCGCTCCGTGACCGGGTCCATATGCCAGGCGGCACCGGAGGCAGCCACGTACTGTTGGGCAGTGACGTCTGTGCTGGTCGGAGCTTGGCTTCTGATCAGCTTGGTGTTCTACAAACACTGGGCTGACAGTACTCAGAGTGCAGCAGCGCCGGTGTCAGTCCGCTGAAGCCCAGCTCACATCTCCACACACACCAGGACCTTCAGCGTTCCACATGCCACCACCAGAAGGACACTAGACCAACACGTCACATCATCACACTCACATGTTGGTTGTGTGTATTTGACACGTAGCTGAGTTTCCACCGTGTGACACTCAGACTGTACTCGTCATATGTCAGGAGTTACCATAGAGCGGTGCTCTGAGCAGACACGGCGGCAGTGATAGACTCTCTTTGCTCTCATCTGGTGTATCTGATACACTGATAAGGAATAAAACTGTGGAGCACATCAGTACTTATCATGACTCAGCATCATTATTAGTTCTGTCTTCTTTTAAGAAGCAACCTTCTTATTCAGGACACACTTGGTCTCAGGAGGAAAACAGCAGCTTTTTATTGGACAGAAAACATCAATCCAGCCGTATTCATCCTATTCATTATGTATGAAGCCAGGCTGCTGGCAGGCTTCTGCTTGGTGTTTTAGCTAATATGGATGATTTCACCAGTGAGCAAAGCAGCGCCATCGTCCTACAGAGCTCACCCTCCACATGTACATCTGAGAAAGGCCTCTGCAGGAGACGTCTCCATCACTGCTCTCATCTAGAACCATACCTACAGCTGTAGCTCTAACACCAGCATCACACCGGGCCTGGGCTCCATCACCACTAATACCCCTAACCCTGGGAAAGGTCTCCAAGCCACTGCAAGGCGGTCACACACTCTAAGGCTGGATTATGGATGTCCTGCTTCACTCTGTGATGAAGGACGGATGTCAGGGCCACATCACAGGAGCCTGATGGAGCGTAAAGCTCTTCTGGTTGAATCCAGTAATTTGTCGGATATCAAGTCAAAAACATGCTCCATGTCAGCAGGCAGCCCGCTGGATGTGCTGGGGCATTAGGGGCATTAGGGGCATTAGGCAGAGACAGTCTGTAATCTGACTGTGACGGGCAGCCCTACCTACAGGCACAAACACACATATAGATCTATCTTCTCTTCAGACTTGGTGTCTTCAGTGATTTGGGTGAAGCACCATGGCTCTGTAATAACTTGCAGGTATGGAGTGGATGTATGGATGCATCCTGGACCCGCTTTGCCTCCTTATCGAACAGTTCTACACCAACAGGCCTTCTTCCTGCTTCCCCACAATAAGAACCACACCAGAGGTCTGGAGCAGTTTCTGTGACTGCACAGACTAGATGTTTAATATCTAAGTGTGTGTATTATCCACAGGAGAGTGGATCAACCAGGGAGAAGGCTGATAAATGATGCTGGCTGGAGGTGAACCAGTCACAGCTCAGAGGTTAGCTTCTCCACGCTGCTTCTGTTTCTGGGCTTCTCTGTGAGAGTCAGTGTCTGGAAGTGAACGATGAAGAGGAAGGCCTGATTCTGCTTGTATACAGAATCTATAACATCCTGTGAAGGGAATAAGACCACCTAAAGATAATTAGAATGGTTCTGCTAAGTCACGTATTTAAAAACCACAACAGGTCAGAGAACACAGAGCGGTACCGCCACATTAAAGGTGATGCATGTGTGTTAGTGACTGCAGAGCTGCTGATAGCAGTCAGAGACCTGGTGGCTGCTGCTGCTGAGGACAGCAGAGAGGAAACAACCTACGACTGTCACAGACGATGGGCTCAACAAGACGGAGTGAAACTGCTGTCAGAGGAAATGATTGTGAGCTTAGAGAGCGTGACGGGATTAATGGCATCTCAGGGAAACTTTCCAAACAAGACGAGTGTCAAAGTGTTTCCTCCAGAACAGACGCTGAGCGTTTCTCAGGACGATAAAACAGCCTGAACTGGTTTTGTTCTTGGGTTTCTCATGTCTTTAGCTCAGTTAATACTCACCGGTGGCTCAGTGTCTGACATATTTATGCCAGAATATTCTGCTTATTTCCAGTGCCTGAATTTGCTCTTTAATGGGAATGTCTGAGTTGACAGTTAGCTTGACCTTTGGTGACCCCAGGTTCATCTCATTTGTTTTTAGTGCTGACAGCATCTAACTGGATTCCTGGTTGTGTTTCGTAGCTTCTCACAGCTCCTCCACCTCTCATACTACACATTTGGTTTGTGTTCATACATACATATCTGTGAATATGTCCGTGTTCACCACATGTCAGTCAATCAGAGACCTGACTGGACAGCACACAGCCTCACCTGGACAGCTGCACCTGCACCACCCTGTACAGTGTGTGTTGGGGTGGAGCGTTTATAGCCCTACTTCTAGTCTGTTTTTGCCTCTTCGTGTGTATTCTTCTTTTTTATTCTTCTTATCATTATTGTTATCCTATTTTCTCTTTTCCTACCTTTGTTTCTGTGATCCATGTAGCTCTGCAGTCTCCTTTACCATGAATGAACTACGCTGTCCTTTTGTTTGTCTTTGTTCTGCTGAGACGCTCGTCTTTTGCCAAGTTTGGTTCAGAGTTTTTCAGGAGATGAGCTGCCCAGCCTGTTCTGAACTACTTTAATATTCACATTCAGCACATTTGTGAATTTTTACATGTCACTCATGATACGGCTGAACACAGGACCTGTATGCGATTCATCTGGGCAAACTCTAACTTTACATCCATCCTGGTGCTAGTATAGAGTGTTCCATCCATCCAGGTAAAACTAAAGCAGTCTCATGCAACACCTTTGTGAGGATAATGATTCTAACCATAAAGCTGCTGATTGTGTAGAACAATGATGGAAGCTGACGTTTGTGATGCTGCTGACAAGTAATAAATGTACAAAATGCTCACTGTGTGTACGGAGAGCTGCTAATTCCACAACTTAGAGGAAACAGTCACGAACGTGGGCAGCAACATGCTCTGAAACGTGAGCAGATTATCTACGCTTCCTGCTCACGCTCACAACGTCTTCCAACTGGGAAGGAGGTCAAGGCTGCAGGTTTTTCCTCTTCTCTCTAAGTAGGTTAAGCTAAGAAACTGGCCAAGCTAACACACACACACACACACACACACACACACAGGCCAGATCAGTGGCTGCTCTGTTTACCCTGCATTACACCAGAGGCCATCTGTCCCCGACGGCACCATATGGGTGACTGCGAACAGGTCACTGGACTTAGCGATAGCAAGCTGACTAGCTGCTCTGTAGGAGAGGGGCTAAAACAACACGTTTAACACGGCAGCATGCTAATCCCTCTGTTGGGAAGAAGTTAGCGGCTGAGCTGTGAGTTGGCCAACATCTGCAGCAGTCAGAGCGTCTTCACTGTTCATTCACAGTCTGCCAGGAAGCAGGAATACACTGCAGCCTCAGGTGAGCTGATAAGCCCGGTACCGTCTAAGGCATGACATGTGCTGCTTCATCAGTCTGTTGAAATGACAGCATTCTCTCATCCAGTCACTTCTAGGTGACCGACATCACTCACATTCATTAAAAAACAAACTGTGAGACACAACAGAGTCACAGTATGCATGAGATACTTGTCCCATATGAGGTTAGAGTCTCCCTAGTCTGGTGTAATACATAATAAGGTACTAATAAACAGGACTGAATGTAAACTAACAACAATGTCATCATGCTGTCAAAATAAATACAGCTGTGACTGGATGATCCGACACTAAATGTAAAACCTTCTTCTATGTCGGGTATCAAGGCTGTCGGATTGTCCAGACGGAGGTCCAGATACGAGGAGGGCTTGATGCTGGAAGGCTCATTAGTTGTTCATTATTGTTCATAGTTGTTATAATAACTAGTGTGTTGTTAGAACACTAAGCATCGCTGGACTTCAGCCTAACTGACCGGTTTGTGCACGTTCTGACCACTTCCACCCCGGGGCAGCGCTCTGACGGGGTGGAAGTGTCCAGAACACACAGGCAGTACTTGGCTGCTGATGCTAGTTTAGTTAGCGCTCACACTTCTGTTTCCTCCATCGGTGGCGGCGGGGGAGTGGCAGATACGCTCCACCGTTACCATCCATGTTTACTTCCATAAACACTGAGCACGCTCGCTGCGTGTGACGTCGTCGTGTCCTCTTCTGCGCATGCGGGACACTTTTGGCTCGTATGAAGTTCACACAGCAGATCACATACAAGTCGCATTGAAGTGGAAACGTGAAGGAAGTCACAAAGAAATCCTCATTGAGCATCAAGTCCTGCAGTGTGAACGTAGCCAATCTGTGGGATTGTTCAGTCAGATAATACGCCGTCATCCTGATTGGTGACATTAAATGTCATGTCGGAGTCACAATCCAAGGCTGTCGCTATGTTAAGGCTGTTTTTATGGCTTCTGTTGGTTTTTCCTAAAAACCTGTCGGACAGCAGGTTTAGGATTGTTAAGGGTCGATTATCCAGTCACGGCTGTAATTAACCTCCTTCATTGCTGACTCAGTAAACATAATTAATTTACTACTTCACTAAAAACAATCTCAACATCCTAACAGCTGAGACGGAGCTGAGGGCTCAACCCGACGACCACCACCATGTAATAAATGATTTAGGTTGAGCTGATAAACGGTGCCTCGGTGTGATGGCACAGCTGTCTGCCGTGAGGAAAGGTACACAGTGTGAGCGGCTGTTAGATCTTCATCGATCCTGTCCTGATGTTGGGGATAATTTATAGGTCTAAGTAATTAATGAAGTCACTGCTGTTGTGCAGAAACGCTCTACACATGGTCTCTGGGTGTAGAGGAAGCTGTTCATAATGATTAACTACACAGACTGGTCACGTGTAAATAAAACACACTGTGGCCTTGAATTGTTCTGTTACCAGATCGTTTGATGAACATCATCATAGAAAGTGGTGGGTGGAAAGAATTCAGCATGAAAATCCAACAAACAGTCAATCTTTCTGTTCCCTTGAGCAACAGCTAACAAAGCCACTTTTAAAATCTCTAATAATGAGAAAAAACCCAGAGTGCATTAAATCACTCTGATAACATCAGCAGTAAAACAGTGAGTGTGTCGGTTCTGTTCTGTTGGACATGTCGGTACCTTGAACATCTGCTTGACCTTCTGCCGGGGCAGGTTGACGTTGAGCTTGTGCAGGAGCTGCAGGACTTCGCTGATGCTGAGACTGCCGTCGCCATTCTTATCCGCTTCAGTGAAAGTCTGCTTCAGCCATGTGATGACGTTTGAGTTAAGAAGAACCAGGACACCTGTTTCTATCAGCAGCTTTTGGTAGTTTGTGTTTAAAGCATCAGTGTGATGGTTAAATTACTACATCATGGAATACATGCAGATGGACCCTAGAAAGACCGGTCCACACCAGAGACCAGCTCCCCCTACACCACTGCATCGGTGAAGGATATTGGTCGCGGGTCCGCTGCCTCTTGGCCAGGCTGTCTTCATCACTGATGCCAGCCATCAGGTACTTGAGGCCCGTGATCCAGGTCCGCGCCTCCTCTCCGGTGCCAGACACCAGGTCCAGGGACTCCATGTGTTCTCCGTAGTACAGGCTGAAGCAGCAGTTGGGGTCAAAGCAGCCCTCTGCATAGCGCTGGAAGATCTCAGACTGCTTGCCCTCACACACCTCCCGGATGGAGTCAATGGAGACTGTTGGAGAAGACAGTGGGTCAGCCAGGCTGTGGTAGAAGCTAACAGAGAACATCTACTGGTGACATCTGGATCTACTTTGATGGTACATTGCATTATCAGTTTAATCTGTTGAACTAATATCAATAAAACCGCCCAGCAGTCTGAAACAGTTCAGTCTGGCAGCACCAAGACCAGCAAACAGAGCTTCTAGCTCCAGGAGACTGAAATGTAGAAATCACAAAATAAATAAAAATACACAGTCCTCCTCCCTCTGTCCTCTCTATACCAAACCTGAACACGCATTAAAAACAGAGCAGAACTGTTCTGGTGCTGAAATGCTTCACTTACAGGAACGTTAGGAATTATTTCTGTGGGTATCGGGGAATAGTTAAATATGGAGGATAAAATAAACAATGACTGGTGCCCACAGAGCTCTGTTTTATTAAGATAAAGAATTTCTGAGATGATAATGACTTTGTACCAAACGATGTGCGGCCCAAATAAATCACATTCAGTGACTCAAAACTACTTCCATACGTGTTCATTTATAAGGCAGTGACACGTCTGTTCACGTTTTATATATCTATATATCTATATATCTATATATCTGTGCAGAGCCTCATACAGCCGACCTGGATGTCACAGAGCCATCAGCATGCTGTGGGCTGTGTGCTCCCACGAGGCTTCACAGACCAGCAGCAGGACATATTACAGCATGTACAGGTGCTGTCCATGATGGGAACATGTGTATGAATAATGCATGACGTTACACCAGGTATGTGGTGGAAGACAAGTGCTGCTACCGCTGTGTGGAATACGTCCTGCCCGGCTGAGGACGATGAAGACGTCTCTTGTCCTCAGAGAGGCACTCTGACCTCGGCGCTGTGCTTCCACAAGAGTTTCACTTCTGCTTGGATTTGTTCTGCAGGTTGTGAATCAGTCGCTGTTTTGTGTTCAATACTTAGCTTTCATTTTCTAATATTAACGTCTAAATGCTCGGTGTCTTTCAGATGAACAGTGAAGACGATCTGGACAATCAGCAGAACTTCAAAGTGGGAATTCAGCATTTGTGTCATCAAATCAGGTTCCAGACCAAAATATGTTCACAACCTCTGAGGCATTAAACCACAACCAGGAAGTGTTTCTGTAGAACATTAGGATGTTACAGGAAAGCTGATATCTGACCTTTGGATGTAAAATATGATCCATCCATCACGTCCTTCTGTTTGATATCCGTGTTAAATGTCACCACAAGTCTTCAATGAAGGCCACAAACTGGTTTAGTGAGGGGACAGGGACTTCTGACCCACAAATCTAATGAGTTCATCCGTGGCTCCACGTTAGCATGTGTGCTACATCTAAAGAGCTAATTCTTCAAGGCGCTCCTGGAATATCACATTTATGAGAATTAGACAGGGGAAGGGAGAACGAAACAACATACCAGCTACAGCGACAGGCAGAAGAAACCCTGTGATAGAAACTTACCGGCTGTTAAACACAAAACGTACTGACGCTGATACGCTTCCATGGACCTGAACTCAGTTTGCTGACATCACACTAAACGCTCCTTTACATCTAAACTGGTTTACATTTACGTTCAATAAATGATCAGCTGAACACATTCACTGGAATCTGGAAGCAATTCGCTGATTTTCCACTAAAACGTTTGGAAACTACAAAAATAAATCTTCACAAAGTTCTTGTCATTGAGCAAACGACACGTGTCCATTTCATATCAATTAAAACCCACTGAGATGAGGAAGAACAACTGTTTTCAGTGATATCTGTTGGTTGAAGCGTAATTTTCTGGCTGGTAGATTCGCTGTCTTTCATTTTTGGGTCACAAAGGGTAACACGGTCACCCAGTCAGCGTGGCAGCAGATCAGAAGCCTGCAGCGCTTCCTGTCTGTCCCAGTGGGTGTTCTGTGATGAGCCTCTAAAGGCTGATGGCACAGAGCAGAGC